CATTTTAGATTATATTTTATTCCAATTACATTTTAGATTATATTTTATTCCAATTACATTTTAAATTGCATTTTAACACATTTCGTTTTAAATTGCTTTTATCAAATTTTAGTAATAATTTGTTTCTGGAACTTTGCACTTTGATGTGGCCCAAGGGCTAATCAATAAAGACTCAATGTCCATTTGCAGAAGAGTTCTGTGTTTGTTAGCTTTGGTGGATCTTCACCAATGTTCAAAGTAACATCAAAAACTGTTTCTTTCAAATTCAACTGGGCTTCAGTGGAGCTGGTGGCAGACTCAGACAGTGAAAAGCTTGGGGTGGGGGGGGACATGGACCAGTCCTGGAGTCTGGGGAAGGCTCTGATGGGCTTCCTAAATACATCTGGGAAATGTGATGAGTTTTGATCCAGGATCCAGATTCTTGGGAATTGTTTTGTAAGCAAGTGGTCATGCTATGTGATTTAGTTTCGTGTGACTCTCCCTCCTTTCAGCTCCCAGAGCCAATCATGCCCTTCCGGATGTACAACAGCCTTATGGGGCTGGCCAAGGAGACCCTGCAGAGTCGCTCCGACAGCAGGGCAGGGAGAAGCACTGGGGAGCCAGTGGACACAAGCAGCGAGTCGGAGAAAGCCATGGTAACAAAGCTGAAGGAGCTGCTCAAGGAGCTTCCAGGCACGAACTTGGCCACCTTGAAGTATATCATGCAGCACCTGAAGAGGTCAGTTGCTTTAGTGATCACTCAAAGTTAAAAAGGCATTGCAAAAAAGTGATTTGCAACCGCTATCATGCCATCCCTATCAGTGGTGGGATTCAAAAAAGTTTATGGTTATGTGGGTGTGGCTTGGTGGACATGGCATAACTTGGTGGGCATGGCATGGCTTGGTGGGCGTGGCTTGGTGGGCATGGCAGGGGAAGGATAATGTAAAATCCTCATTTCCCCCCGATCAGCTGGGACTCGGGAGGCAGAGAATAGATGGGGGCGGGACCAGTCAGAGGTGGTGTTTACCAGTTCTCCGAACTACTCAAAATTTCTGCAACCGGTTCTCCAGAACTGGTCAGAACCTGCTGAATACCACCTCTGATCCCTATGTTGTGGCCTGCCAGCGGCCAGTGGAGCTGGTGGCAGACTCAGACAGTGAAAAGGTTGGGGAGGAACACGGACCAGTGCTGGAGTCTGGGGAAGGCTCTGATGAGTGCTCTGTGTCGGAGGCAGAGATGGGGCCAGGGCCATCCAACAGTTATCAGCTGCCTTAGGAGTCAGAGATTAGTGAGGCAGAAGAACAGCTGGAGCCTGTTCCCGATGCGCAGACCTGCCAGGAGAAGGGAACAGCTAAGGAACAAGGGCCAACTCAGGAGTAAAGGGACAGGTGGACAGTGAATAAAGAGGAGCGAAAGAGGAGGGGAGTTTGCAGGAGACAATTAGTTCAATTCATTAGGGTGAAGATCTGTTCCTGACTTCTTGCCGAGTAATTGCTGCTACAGCATGGTGTTTGGAAGATATCGGCCTGGCAATTCTCCAAGCCTAATAAAGGTTCTGTAGTTGTGAAATCTCATGAAAGACTATTGGCCGGGACTTTGCTGGAGAGGAATTCCCTTTAACCTAAATAAGAGAGGTTTTATTGGGACAAGGAGTCTGCTTCATGATCTTGGGAAGCCTAGGCCAGAACATTCTAGTCCTTTTCTCTAGAGCAGTGTTTTTCAACCTTGGCAACTTGAAGATGTCCGGNGAGTTTGCAGGAGACAATTAGTTCGCTTAATTGGCCTGTGACTCTCCAAGACTCCTTGCCAAGTTTTGCAGATATTGGCTGTCAGCTCTCCAAACCAGATAAGGTCTGTGACTATAAATCCTCCCTTGAAAAATTTTACTGGATGTGAATGAGCAGAATTCACAGTAAATGAATAAAAGGGTTTTTTTGTCGGGAGAAGGAGTTTGCTTCAGACTCTTGGGAAAGAGTCTTAGGAAAAGTTTTGACCGGGGGGGAGGGGCTCCAGCCTCACCGGAGCTAGGCTGCAAACTACCCAGTTTGTCCTCCCCGGCCCTCAGGAACACTCTGCAGGTTTCAGCAGGGCTAGAGGAAGGCAAAAACATTTTTGCAAAAAATAGGCAGAAAACGGGGCCGTTTTTCGCAAAAACTGAGGCATTTTTGCCTTCCCTCCAGGCCTGCTGAAGCTTGCAGAGTGCTTCTGGAGAAGGAAAAAATGCCTCCGTTTTTGCGAAAAACGGCCCATTTCTGGGACCTCTCTGGGACTGGCATGCTCACACCATTAAAAAAGGGAAAATATTGCATTTTTTCATTGAAGATTGTTCTGCGCGTGTGCAGAACAGAAAATAAAGATGGTGGCACTCCAAATAGAACCGGTACGGTCACTTGCCCGGCCAAGTTACTACCTATTCGGCGGAACCAGTCCGAACCGGTAGGAACCCACCTCTGCACCATGGCACCCTTTAAAAGAGAGTTAAATAATGTGCAGAAGAGTCTTTGCATTTGCGGAGCAGCAGAGGTAGAAGACCTGGCTCACATCCTCTTTGATTGTTGCTTATATAAGGGGGTGAGAGACAGGTGCCTTGGTCTACATCCCAATCGAATGGCCCATATCAAAATCACTTACCTTATGTGCAGCCAGAACCGGAAAATAACATTTAACACAGCACAGTATTTAAACAAAATGGTTTGATTGAGATCTGCATATGTGGGACCGATTGGGGTAGATTGCAGGGGTGACACCAAAATATAATTTTATCATATTTTATCTACTGTATTTTTGGGAGTATAAGACGCACCTTTTTCCACCCAAAAAGAAGGTGAAAATCTGGGTGCATCTTATACACTGAATACAGCATTTTTGGCCTCCCGAAATCCTGCCCCTTTCACAAAAATGCAGAGGGTTTGGGAGGCCTGCAAAGTGCTCCTGGGGGCTGGGAAGGGCAAAAAATGAGTTGGTTTTTGCTTGTTTTTGCCCCCCCCCCAGCCCCCAGGAGCACTCTACAAGCCTCCCAAAGCCTATGCATGCCCTGTTTTTTTGCAAAAAATGGACCCGTTTTTGCGAAAAATGGGCCATTTTTTGCTTGTTTTTGCCCCCCCCCCAGCCCCCAGGAGCACTCTA